GCGATATTTTTCCTTGACTAGCTTGCTTTTTTATTGGATTTTATCGTTTTTTCTTCTGTTTCTTCTTAGTTTTCATGTTTATTAGACTTGATTAATTAAAATGGCTCCTCCTAAGTAAGCGGCGATCAAGACTGCATTGAAATTGAAGAAAGCGGTCAGCCAATTCAAATAATTAAAGGACTCCCTACCTCACAAATTGCGCGCTCCAAACTTCCATCGCAATCCTGCGATAGGCGGCGGGTGCGGCGTGTGCGACGCCGTGTTAGGGGAGAAGTTCCCGGACCCCCGGAATTGCCTTGCTCTATCGCCTGCCATCGGTCATCATAAATGGTTGTCTGAATTTACAGCCTAGATGTCCCATGCGAACGGTGCAGCTCCTACAACGTCGTTTAAACTCGTCCGCATTTGGGTGTGGCAAACAGCCGATTAAATATTTGAGCTCTTTTAACGCCCTACCTATGCAGACAGGGGCCAAGTAGTGCTACAAGGCAACCTGGCCATGTGACAATATACTTTCTTCAGCAATCACCCCTTCGGAAACTGCTCCATTCCGTTAGCTTCCAATGGAGTCGTAATGATATTCGGCTCGATAGAACTTATACAAGCAGGTGCTACACAACGATTTTTACTCTTTCGTCTTCAGGCTTGTGGGTATTGGAAGTCTCCCGAACAACTTCCTGAGAAGGGTGAAAAACCTACATAGGTCCCGGAATAGGGACCGAGGATTCATGAAAATCAGATTATCATTGCGAGATTACTCTCATTTGCCTCATTCCTCTCGCATAACGCCCTATATGAGCAAGCCTATTCGACAGCTTCAGAAACGAAAGTTGTGGACTAACCTCATTGATTCGTAACCGATCTATTTCGCTTCCTCTAGTCACTTCTGCCAACCGATCGATGATTGCTGATGGAATTTCAGTGGAGGAGGAGAGCAGTTCAGCATCGTGTGTCGATCGGTTACCTCGAGAAGCGATAGCACCTAATGAGGCCGCCGCTACCGTTGGAAACAGTGCCACGAACGCGTTCTGAAAAACTGATTCAATCTTCAACTGAAACAAATGGCACATGGTCTGCCAATCATTTGAACTATTTTGTGGAGAGAGGAGTAAGTGAGAGGGAGGAGGAACGTTCCAATGTTTATTCGGGAAATTTCTTCTATTATATTTGCAACTATAAACTCAATGACGACTAACAAAAAGGAGAATTCCTTGCGATTTTGGATTCATTCGTCGTAGATATCTGATTGTGCATCTCCTTTGGATTTCGAACGACAATTAGAAAGTAGGGGACCATTAGCTTTGAGATTTTATACAATATATTATAGAAGGAGTAAACAAGAAGCTGGTTGAGGCGGCCAAGCGGCACATGGCTCACCGTCGCATGCATGGCCAGGAGATCGAATCCTGGTTCTATATCAGCCTAAATCAACAAAGCCCTAGATCTTTCGATTGATTGAGTGCTATCAGACTTGTCTGGGAGTATAAACGCACTGAATGGTACATCGGCTGGCCATCGCAAGTATTTGAATAAGCTACATAAGCATTCAAAACGCCAATACGATTCTGAATAAAATGCGAAGGGGGGGGGGGGGGGGGGGGGGGGNTCCAAAGACTTTTTCCTCTGCCCTTTAACCAGGTAGCAGCTGAATTTGTCTCATAGCACAGAATCTCAAAACCCAAGGTATCTCCCAGATACCTACCCAGGATATCTCCTAGATTGTAGAGATTTCAACCCTCCCAGATCTAGTTCAAATAACTTGGGATTTTCGAAAATCAAAATGAGATTGGGATTCCTTTTCCCGTGATTTTATATGGAGGAAGCGGACCTACCCAGATGTCATTATATTTCCATATAGCAGTCGATTGTGTGGCGCATAATAGAGGATCGGTTATACAAATGCACTACCAAGCTTTTCTAGTGATACAGGTTTACAGAGTCGACGATCCCGTAGATTCAAAATACAAAATTGACGGTCCCGTAGATTGAAAGTGAACATTTCGAGTTCCATCAGGTAATGTAAGGAAGAAAGACGATTTGATGCAGAAATCATGCGATAACTGCGAATGGGCTGGGATAAGTTAAGGTTTCTAATATCCTATATTAGTACCTAACCGTGTAGATGGATGACTTTGCTTGTTGAGAAGACTTCGAAGCTTTTCAAGGGTAATAGCTTAACAGTAAGACCGTAACTGACCTTGATATCTGTATCCAACCCTGCGGGATCTCGTCTCTTCCTTTTTTGGCAGGCGACCCATTTCCTGCTCTTTCCCTCCTCATCACATCGCATGACCAACTGAACCCGATTCTGACCGATCTGGAATATCACGGGATTTTCTGGATTATGAAAAAAGCGTTCGTCAAGAACCTCATCTATGCCATTCAGAGAAGAGAAATCCGAAGGCACGAACCCGCTCTATCCGCAAAAGATCAAGGTGTCGTCTCCTCATGGAACTTTCGTTGCTCCGTATAATTTCGAACATTTCCTTGTTCAGTGAACGACATTGGCTGAGATCTCGACGGCTCAAGTTCCGCAGAATTTTCACTTGCAATTCCCTCGGCAATTGATTCCATGGGAAAATACCCTGAAATGGTAGATGGTCGCTTTGCTTGCTGTGTTTCGTGTAAAGCCAAAAAGCCACACTCAATCGGCAAGTGGGCGAACAAGATTCGCTTGTTGCGCAATCGATGTGCCTGTCTGGCGACGACACTCGTTTTCGGCGAAGAACAGAACCTGTGCCGCGACTGGCCTTCCTTTGAAGCTGGCTGGCCATGGGGTGAAAGGGATTCGATAGCGGATGGGATCCTACGTATGGAACGATTTCACTCACCGTCGATTGGGAAGAAGACGATGGTTGGCACAGCTGGTCATCAAATATTTCGGCATTTGACGTCATCGAACGGCCTGTAACGAAGCATACATTGAACGGAAACGAAAACGCAATTCGACCGGTCAAGGGGATGGAATGGGAGCGACATAAAAGCGATCAATAGCTATGTAAAACATTGCCCCGATAGATATTGTACAATGGAGACTTGAACGAAAGAATAGGTTTTCAAGTGCTTGTAGATCAGCGGTGGGGTTAAGGGCCTGAGAACAAGATCTCTGTTCAAGGAAGTTCAAGGAAATCGCCTGATCCTAATGGAAGATCTTCTGTTGGTCCCTAGGATGGGAACCTTTACCAAGACAATAGTTTATTTGGGAGGAATGAACACTAGGGAAAAACGATTTTAGTATTCTGAGTTACTGCTTAACTGTTAGCTAGCTTTTCTTGTAGCTTTTTTTNTTTTTTTGTGCTATAAAGATGGAATTAAAAGAATCAGGATCAGAAAGGAACATGAAGGGTTTAGGAATAGTCGAAAAAGCAATTGTGTGGGTAAGCCCCAGGTGTTTCAGGGGAATGCTAAGAAGCATGGATGAGACGATAAGCGATCAACGAAGACAACGGGGCATCGGTGCTGACCGTTGCATTGTCCGCTCTCCATGGGAGGCATGTAATGGTGATGGCTACCCGCTGCGCGAAACCACGCCCCCATACCCCTTACCGTATTGTAGGGAACATTGGGGTGGAGCTTGTGATGAAGAACCAGCGGTAGGCCATGTACGAAGGATACAGTTGTCAGCAAAGTCTTCTGTATGATTTCTGGGAGCGTGGCTTGTGGGAATTGGTCACCTCTCTGGTCAACCAGCGTTTTCGCAACGGCTGTCAGACAAACCCGATAGCGCTAGATACGTTCCAACAACCGACGTATCACTGTGGGAGAAGCTTGATTCTCAAAAGAACATTGGGATCGTTACTTTACTGCTCCTAGAGAGCTTAAGAAACATCAAGCACAACTCGAAATAATGGGAGAATTTGATGGACTCACACCTTCACATTGGTTGCTGCCACCAATTGGGTGTCGGGCGATAGATGATCGGAACGGATTTTTTGAAAATTGTCGATTTTCACGCTAGGAGGAAGAAATACTGCCTTCAACATGATCCCAGTCCCACTGTGCGATTAAGAGCTACTAGTCCCTTCTCACCCTTTTCACAGAACCGTCCATCTCAATGAATGCTTATGACTTGTAATCCGTTGTAGTGGCGGTATGCGATTGAGTGGACAGCATGGGTTGCTCAAAGGGTTGGGTTTACGACGATTTGCGGCCCCCTTTCTGTTTTGCTCAAACAATGGCCAGGTCATAAAAGTGCCACGAGGTTGTTCGCAGTGACAAATGCTTCTATAGAGACTGGTCGGGACATTCAAGAGGTAGCGACAAAGCAGTGCTCCACGTAAAAGACACCTCATTACTCTTACGAGATACAGCCGTTGATACAACATAAATCGAAGTGTCCTAGGAACAAGGTGATGGAATGGGTACTCGAATCGAAGCGGGACTCTGCTACACATTAAGTACCCACTTCACTGATCCTGAATCAGGTTCTCTGAACCTTTAAAAACAGAAATTTTGAAGATCTGTAGGATTCCACCACCAAAAACATAGTAGCGTTTTGACTTGATGTTCCGTTAACTGCTGTTTTATCGCCGCAGTGCGCGTTGCTCCGAAGTCTCGCAAGGTTGGCGATGTATGAGCAAAACTTCAGTCTCGGACGGGACTCGAACCAGTACTTGTGCTTTCCGTAAGTACAGGCTCGAGTCCCGTCTGAGACCGAAGTTTTGTCCATATATCGCCAACCTTGTGAGACCTAGAAGTGTGTTCTCGAGACGGAATCGATAGGATCGATAGTCAATAATATTTGGAGGACATTCAATCAATCATCAGTAAAATATGTTCAGAATAGGTGGTGTGCAGTGGAAGCATGGTTGCATATGGTAACTGCTGAATACTTAGTCGTGGCTGGAGAGGGATCAGAGAGCGCGAGGAAGACTTATCGCCCGCACTTATTCACCCGTACAGGTTCTGCGAGGAGGTGATTCTTGCGTTTTCGACCTGAGATGATCATTTGCATTTCTGGGAATTTTCTGTTCATCCACATGAATCTGACACATGCTACTGTACGTGCTTATGGTTAGCAATCATCTCGAAGACAGCCTATAGTTGTGGTTTTGGGGTTTGAGCCAGTCAGCTGCCTACATCAAGAGTTACTTGTCGACTGGGATTTGTTTCTGCCATCCCCTGACCTTTGGAAGTAACTGGGTTATTGTGAATGAAACAATAGACTTACTCTAACAATTGTGAAATTTTTCGAGTACCACAGGAAGGAGGTTTCAAAGTGAAAAGTCGAGAAGAGCTCTCTCTCTCATTGAAAACCTAAAACTTCTCCGCAGCAGATCCCAAATAGGAGCCAGACACTGAGAGCCTGTTGATCTAATCCCATTGTGAGATGTTTGCAGCATCTTGTGTTATGAGGAATCAGCAATGCCATAAGTCTTTGAGATAGGGATCTGGTGCCAGCTGATCCGCTCTTTCATGATGCCGCCCCGTTTGGCCGTCCTAATAAACGGAACGTCAAGAAGGGAATTCGAACGATCGTGAAGTTCAGAATGTGAGTTTAGGTTTCTGCCTGATTGAATCAGTCTCACTGCGACCATCTCCGCTCTCGATCTGACGTCGTGCCACAGCCACTTCATTCTCGGGGCCATCGATGCTCCTTAGTCATCCCCAAGTAAAAACCTTTCCAAATAGAACAACCCTTAGCTTATCGACGACCTTGAATTCCAATGATGGTACAGGACCGATGTAAACTTCTTCTTGCGGCTGCAATCCCCGATCTTCGATGAATGGGTCGCCTGCAGTGCCTCAACCGCTCGCAAATCCCTAGGACGGCAAGAAAACGACTTTGATTTCGAAAAATTCCATCAATTTAGTAGCCAAATGAATTTCCAATGCTATAAAAATACAGTAGGCGAGCCGTAAATCATCGTTCCACCTTAGGGATAAACGCTTTGCTCCAAAAGATGTGCCGAGAGACGAAAAACCTGCGATCAGCATATTACGGTGATCTCATGGCGACAATTAATCAGCTCAAAAGGACCGAGCGCCCTTTCAAAATTGGATCATAGCCGTTCGGCAGAGGGAGTAAACATTTTGAAATTTCAGTCACGTCTTTGGTGATC